CATGACATTGCAGTAAAACACATCTTGGACACGCTTTGCACAGCACCAAGGCTTTTCATAATGCCAGTTACATGACTTTAGATCTGATCCATCTAAGCTCTTATGGTGTCCTAACACCTTTGGGATCTTGGTTTGAGGTTATGATCACTAACTGCTTGTCTGAAAGGCTGTCAGATATCAAAGTTTTTTATTACACCCATCCTTCCCTTTTCTGTTCCCGCTAAGGAGGCTCAGTGGGGCGAGAGGCGGGTTGGACAAGTTGCCAGTCCAACAGGACAACACGGTTCAATGAACCATGCAAAACACAGTGAAAAAAAGAGAACGGAGCTCCATATTAAAAAAATTAATTATAATGAACACAAATTTACTTTAAGTTTGTTTACACTGACGACTAAATAAACTTAATAAATTAACCTGGATAAAGTTAATTTGATTACTTGTTGTGACCAATTAACACTTTTTTTTAAAAGTTGGAAATGCAGTCATTTTTTTTTTCAGTGCACTCATACCTAAGGACATGTTTGAGTGTTCACTTAACCCCCAACCGTAGTGTTTTTGGGCTGTGGGAGGAAGTCAGAGTACCCAGAACGGAACCCACACATGCACAATGAGAACATGCGAGCTTCACAAAGAAAGACCCTTAATGCCTAAACTTACACTGGGGTGATAATTTATTAAGCCAGGCGATTGGCTGATTTAAAAGCAATTGAACAGATGTGCCATGTGTGTATTTTTAAGATGCTGCTTTATCATATTTTTAGACATTTTTGATTATTTCTTTTTGTCTTTTGTTTATGAAAAACAGCTGAATCGACCTGACAATCGAACATCGACCCGTAGTTTTGTTCTGCGTTTTAATATTTTATCCTTTGCTCCTCTCAATGTGAGCCAGTGAGCACGTGTTTATTAACAGGCTACCTTTGATGTGGGAGCCATAATGACCGTGTCCAGCAGCTCTTGACAGCGAGCTTTGTCACGGCTCAGCTTACTGTGACCGCTTGTCGATAATGAAGGCAGGAGAAGTACACACTGTGACATGAGTGCTCGGGGTGATGAGCTGCTCAATAATCAGCGGTGTGAACATGTCCTGCAGAAAATATTGTAGCGACAATGCTCATGTGAAGTGTGGGTTCAGCAAAATAAATGGGGACACGGTGTTGACGAAGGTAATTGGGGCACAAGGACTTTGGCAGATTTCTTATGCCAAAGAATAGAAATGTTGTTAAGTCAATAGATCATATCATAAAAAAAGCAGCACATTATCTACAATTTTTACCCTTGGAAGTAATTATATTTTCTCCATGCAGCACCTCCCTTGCTTGGATTGAACGATCATTTCTGCTTGTTCTATCAAAGATATTTGCAAAGTGGCTTATTTGCAAAGACGTTGTATTCTTGCTCCTTCTTGGTGACATCAGCTAAGGTGAAGATTCAAAGAAAGTGTAAAGATCTGTAAGTTTCACATGGAGAAAAATAAAAACCCACAAGTAGAAGATTCAAGCAAGAAAAACAAAGTTACCATAATTTCCAGACAATTGAGTGCACTAAGTTTGAAAAGAAAAAAAAAACAAAACATGAAGGCCCAACTTGTCAATAAGTTGTTTAAGTTGCACCATGAGATATTTACACTGATATAACTTTTAATAAAATACGTACATTAAATATTTTTCCCAAACATTGCCTAGAACATAGCTGCTCCAAAATAGGGAAAAAACCATAAATAAATGCAGCGGCCTACCATGAAAAGTCATTGATTGCTTTCTTCATCTTCCTCCTGTGCAGTAAAACCACTAACGTGTTCTTCTGTGACAGATTTCGTTCAAACCCATCGGTAAAACCTTTGCATTAGCCGCATCACAGCGTTCAAAGCTTGTAAAGAACAGTAATGGAAATCACTGTAGCTTTTAATGAATTTAAGGACTTAATGCCTGACTGCTGATGTCTTCATTTCTGAACTGTGAGAAGCACACACGTCTGAACTTGTTAAATTTCAAAACATTTTTCACTCTGGGTGTTCAATCACCTGATTTCTCTCACCTGCATCTACTGTCATCCTCCCTTCATCCCTCAGTATTTAGGTTCAACATTTTAATTTGTTCTTTCACAGATTCCTTCAGTAACATGACCAGTAACTCCACCCTGTTACTCCACCCTGCTACTCCACCCCGTCCTGTTTCTCGTCTGTTTTCCGTTACACTTGTTCCGATTTCATTATTAAAATTACACATAATGAAACATAGCTTACAGTTAAACTTGGCACAAATGTAACAGTATTTCATAAATACTGTTTATGAAACATCATGGTGTTACACATAGTGGTGGATGTGGACGCAAGTCTATCTCCAAATGGCTAAAGAAAAAAAAATGAATAAAGTTTTTGGAGTGATCTAGTCTAGAGATCTGAAATTCCTCCACAGTGATGCAAAAGACTCATTGCTAGTCATCACAAATGTATTTTAAAAGCACTGCAGGTGTTTCATTTCCAGCTAACAGAGTAATAACTGATTAAGTAGCAAAGTTTAAACAGCGGAGCCTCTCTGTTTTCCTGCTTCTACAAAAGCTGTTGATGCACCTTTTACACAGTTTCAACAACCATTTTTTCCCCCCCACAGATTCTCTGTTTTGCACCCATGCGTAACACTTCACTTCTTCACTGTCCAAGATAAGACCCATTGTTCTAAAATGTTGAGGCCACAGTGATAACTCTCTTACTGACATCAGCCTGGAAACTTCCTGTCTGTGATCGGAGAGTTTAAACGTTTAAGTTGTGTGAGGAGAACTTCAGACTCAAAGCGTCCCCAAAAACAATGGGTGAGCGTGGGGAAGCTTGCCCTGCTGGTTACATAATGTTGTAGCTCTGGTTAATGAGAACAGGCTAATACAGCAAAGCCTGGCCGTTTGCTCATTTTAATAAAGCCTAATGATTTGGGACCACTGAGGCATGAACAACAATCCAACAAGCACACAAATCCCTCGAATGAGTGGATGCTCGTTATACAAAGAAGCATATGTTGCTGCAGCTATATTTAACTCTACATTGTGAATAAATGATGTTGTGGGGGCTACGTTACATAATAGCAGTATTAGAAAAATTATTTTTGACAGTTCTGTAGAGAAAAATCAAGACGTAGATTAAACAATCGATAGGTCCAGCTCTGACGTCACTCTCAACAAAGCCGTGACCTTTTCTCCTCCTGCAAACAGTTTAGGGTTGGTTGCTGTCCTACTTTTCTCTGACACTTTCAGACTTTTCTGTACGTACGGCTGAGAATGCTGCCTGTGGTTCGGCGCCACGTTCAGCTGTGTTTCAGGTTTTACTAAACACCTCATGCTGCCCACAGCTTGTTGTTGGCAGGGAGCAAAACAAATCTGTTTTCAAGTGTGCAGTCACGCTTTGCCTGTGCACCACACATGCACACTGAGCAGTCAATGTTGCACGTACTGCCTGTTCCCAAAGCCCTCTGTACGTAGATATTCGGTTTTATCACAATGTAACCATTAAGATAATGTGAGCCAGACTGAATCAGAGCTTTTGAAGTAACACTTTTAATGTTTATAGTTTAGGGAAAGTGTAGGTGTGCAACAATAGGAGGATGACTTTTCACCTTTTGGCTTTTTACGCAGGATGTGGTGTTTGCTTCAAAAGGTTATACTCAGAACTTTTTTTTTTTTTTTTTCCTGAACTACCTGTGTCTATTAGCATTGAGTCAGGGGGAAGAGAGCTATCAGGCACTTTTTAATGAGGAGACTATTTATTTTAGCAACTGTTCTGAGCTTCTTGTTCTTGTCCAAGTTTAAATTTATTCAATCAATCAATCAAATTTTATTTGTATAGCACATTTCAACAGCAAGGCATTTGAAGGTGCTTTACATAATTAAAGAAGAAATAAAACAGTATGTGACATTAATAAATAGATGAAAAGTAAAGATAAAAACATTAAAAACAAACAAAAAAAAGATAAAAACATATTTTTATTACGGAATTTAAGCGCCTGTCATCCGCCGACCGTTTAACACGGGTATCATCCAGGCCCCGTCGCCTGACAGGATGGAATTTAAAGATTTTTAGTCAAAACGCCATTTGACAAGGATTCTCACACCTCATAGTTTTAGTTAAAACGCCATTTAAAAGAAATTGAAGGCATTTCAAGATGCTTTACATAATTAAAGAAGAAATAAAAACAGTATGTGACATTAATAAATAGATGAAAAGTAAAGATAAACACATTAAAAACATCGAAGACATCAAAACCCACACTCTAACCCTAATTTAGCCATAAGCAACTCTAAACAGGTGGGTTTTAAGTTGAGGTTTAAAGGCACCCAGTGTTTCAGCTGTTTTACAGTTTTCTGAAATTCTTAAAAAACAAGCAAATGAGTGTCAGGGACGTCTGGGTGTTGACCTGAACCACAAGAAGTTGAGATCATTTATTGTTTGCAACAAGGCAAAAATAGTCTGCAAATAGCAATATAACCTGCTATGAAATTCCAAGTACTGATGATAGAAAGAAAAATGTAACGCAAAGAAACATGTTAATTTGACTTTGCTTCAAATTAACATGTTTATGTTAACACGTATGACAACACGGCCAGCCGTATGTGTTAATAAATAATTTGTTTCTGTGTTTTATATTAGGCACGATTCTTTTACTTATACTTTTTCTGTGGACGCTCTACCAGATTTGTCTTTTCTGAACTTTTGATAATTGGGTACAAGCTGAAAAGATCTATTTTATTTTCCAATCCTATTTCTGTCATTTGAAAACTATTACTTCCTTAAAAGTTTGATGTTTCATTTTTAGTTGGGCGTTTTTAAAACATGAGGCAATTAAATTAACTTCATCTGCACATAAATAGTGTTCCTAGTTATCAGCAAAAAGGTACGCTAAAAAAAAAAATAAATAAAAATAGGGTGGGCCAGTTAAGCGTTATAATTAGAGTCAACACGTAAAAATGTTGGTCTTGAATGGAAGTGACGTAACGTCCGCTTTGTTTTCTTCCTGGATACGGTTGCTACAACCGTTGCGCACTTGTTAGCTTCCAAACAGACGACTTTACTCACCAAGTGTCAGCGCCAATTTGAACCGAATCTCGGTAAATAAAGTTTGGAGCGGTTTCCGATCCATTGCTTTCCATCTTTACTGCCCCACAGAACCAAACGGGATGTTCACCTACTCAAGTCACCCCAAACCTGTGGAGATCCGCAGATACAGAGATCTGCCCGACCCGTACGTTTCTTTTTAAACTGTTTAGCTAAAATGATAAAGCTGCAAGTTTGTTTGTTACTGTTATTACATTGTAGTTGTAAGAGCTTACAGGTCCAGATTAGCGGTGTAATTTTGCATAGTGGTTCCCAAGCGTGGGGGCGGGTCCTCACTGTGGGCTATAGTATAAAATACAGGGTCTTGAAATTATTTTTAGGATTTAAAATACATAAAAAAAAAAAAAAAAAAAAAATCTGACTGCTGCATGCATGTGTCTGTAATTTAAAGATGAGTCAAAATAGATTAAGAAAAATAAAGTTAAGTCTATTTATGTTATCAAGTTATTGTCTATGTCTGCCATTGTTTAATGTTTTTATGTTTTAAGTAAAGGATTTTTAAGTAAAAAAGTCCTTCACTTTCACTGTAGGACAACAACTAAAACGTATGAAACCCACTGATTTTACAGTTGTCAGACAAGTCAGTACAAGTATCAGTCAAATTTGGGTTTATTTTTTCTTTTTAATTACTTGACATTTAAATAGGAGATTACCTCTTTAACCTGCATATTTTAACTGTAATTTCACGGTCTGATAATGAAATTCCCATTTCTAAATGAAAATGCTTTAATTTAAAGCCTTTCTTTTGTTTTGCGAGCTATTCAAAAGTAGACTTGCTGTGTACTTTAAATCATACTCCTGCTACGTAAGCCAGGTAAACTGATGACCAGACATTCTTTGTCTGGGTTTTATGCTAGAGAGTAATATTCAGGGCCCCCTGTTTAATGAAACTTCTTGATTATATAGGTCAGATCTTAATCAAACCTGGGTGTGACTTAAAAAAAAAAATCTCAGCTTTTGTGAACTCACCAAAGAAAAACAACATCTAAATTCTCCAAAGAGCAAAGGTACGAAAAACATGAAATTGGTATTCACTGCACTTTGGTAATATTTTTCACAGTCAACGAACAAGATGTCTGAATAAGCATTCCAAGCGCTCCTTCTGTATTTAAATATAACCATTACAGGGATCAGTTTTTCTCTCTGAACGACCAGGATGATAACTGCTGAAGATTTTATTGCACCTCTTTTGTCGCCAAAATAGGAACCAGCTGCAGTATGGAAACATTATGTATGATCGTCGTGTCGTCAGAGGAAATCTCCACGACCAGCAGGTCACTTCAAAAGTATGGATGAAACATCTGTGTTATCCTCTTTTTCTACATTTTTGTTATTATTATTATTATTTTTAACTTAATCTCCTTTTGGGATAAATAAAGTAGTCTTGAATTTTGTGTGGTCTTGTATCCCCCAATTTCAACAGAATAATAATTCAGACCCTGGTATGCAGCAAAGACAGCAGGCGTACAGAAGGAGAGCTATTGCTCGAAAACAGTCCAAAGAACAGTTAAAAACCAAGACTCCTGAAGCTATACAGGGCAGACAACATGTTGTTGTACAAACAGGTGAAACACTTTGTCTAAAATTGTTTTCCCATGTGCAATTGAAACCTGCAAACAAACTACCGTCTCTGTTATTTCCAGACTCTTTCCTCGAGGAGCTGAGCAATATCATTCAAGTTAGTGAGATTGATTGTCAGACCGATGAGTTCCTGGATAAACCATCAACGCCGCTCTTTGTTCCTGCCAAATCCGGGGTAGATGTTGAAACGCAGATAGAGGAGGGGGATGTGAGTATTTTAAGCAGAAATCCACTAAAGATAACGTCTACATATTGAGAGACAGACAGTGACTACAGGGTGAAGCAAACTATGCATCATATAGATATATGTATCCTCTGCAGCTGTTTGACTTTGACCTGGAGGTGCAGCCTGTGTTGGAGGTTCTGGTTGGAAAGACGATTGAACAGTCCCTGCTGGAAGTGATGGAGGAGGAGGAGCTGGCCTGCCTGCGGACCCAGCAGAGGGTCTTCCAAGAGCTCCGAAACAACGAGCTGGCAGAGGTGCAGCGTCTGGAGGAGCAGGAGAGACGCTACCGAGAGGAGAAAGTACGAGGACAAGCAACTACGATTATTAAGCATTCAACACTCTTATCTTCATTTAATGCTGTATTTATTCTCTTAAAGTAGCATGGGCAATAGTTTGTACTTCTTATGCAAGCACTAGCTGTAATTTCATAAGAGCTATGTTTATGTTTTATGGTGTGAGCTGTGGTTTTGGTTTGATGGGCTTGCTGTTGTCAAGGACACTCATCAAATCTAATCTGATTGACGCTTTTCTTAGAAATCTCTTTTATACATACATGTGTGTGTGTATTTTTTTGCCTGAATTGGTACTATCATACCTAGAAGAAATATATATATATATATATATATAAAAAACACATTTTCCTTTTGATTCCAGGAGCGCAGAGTTGCCCAGCAGAAGGAAGTGCTAAAGAAGGAGCAGGAAACTGCAGAGAAGATCGCCGCCCGGGTGTTCAGCCAGCAGTACTTGGCTGGACTCCTCCCTGCAGTCTTCTCCTCTCTCAGAAGGCACGGCTACTTCTATGACCCTGTGGAGAAAGGTGAGCCTCTTCAGCTTTCATTGTTCTACCACAAGAGGGCGTTGGTGCTCTACTCTGAGTGCCTGTGTGGAGGCTTTCCCATTGCCTGTTTTTTTTTTTTTTTTTTTTAATACATATATATATTTCTGGTGTTCTTTTTGCAGATATTTCAGTGAATTTCCTCCCATGGCTCATTGCTGAGGTCAACAAACAATTAGACAAGAGATATACAGCAAGAGAAGTGCTGGACAGTAAGATACTCCGATTCTTTTTGTTGTTTTCAACCTTTTAATTTATCACAGCTTCATCAGTTGCTTCATATGGGTTATTCTTAAAAAGAAGCATGGCAAATTATTTACACTTTGAAATGTTCAGTCCACTCTATTATTTAGCATCCGTTGTCATGTATTGTGATGAAGTCTTCAGAGCTTTTCAGGAACATCTTGGGCAAGATTTGAAAACTTCCATGTGTTCTTATGTTTTTATTTTATTTTATTTTATTTTAAAATCAAGTAGCTTGCCCTGCTCTAGCGTTCAGGGGATTACGAATACTTTTGCAAAGAAATGCAGCCACAGTTACTTGAACAGCGTACAAATGGAAATAATTTTACTAGTCCCATCTATGTGCCACCAAAATATTTAAAAGCTTGCATAAAGTTATAACGCTATCATCTGGTGCCATCTACTGGTAGTTACTAAACATTGCACAAGTCCTGGAAGAGTAGCAAGAGCGTCACTGAGCAAAATGCGTTTTAAAGATGTTCATCTTGTGTGTCTGTTTCAGACATCATCTATGAAGTCACTCTGAAAAGACTGGAGGATTTTAAGCATCTCAAGTTCGGTCAGGACTGCTCTGACTCATGAAAAGATCAGCTGATCAGCAAATGTTCCACCAGAAATAAAAGTCTTAAAAAAAAGTGTGTTTATCTTTCACGATTCAGTTGTCATTTGAAAAAACAAATGTGCTTTACACTGTTTTGTGATCTGAAGGATACCCTCTGGCTTGTATTTAACAAACCACTTTAGCTTTCATATTAAGAAATATATTTTGTTGATCCAGGATCTTGACAAAATGACTTATGTGTATATTAATAAACCTATAAAGCTTTACATAAATTTATCCAACTATCCAATCAGAAGGCTGAGTCTGCTTTCTGTTAATGGTCACTTTTATAAAAAAATATTTTAGCAAGAGATGCCATGTCAAAGTCCTTTTCTCAATATGTGAAAGTGATGAATGTTTCTGTCAGGTGTTCAATTTCGTTATGTGGTACAGCTCTTACATCATCATTTGATAACATTGTTTAAAATGTAAACAATCATTTCAGATAAAAAATACTCTCTGGGTGAAACTGCCTCCCATTCAATATTTCCACACATTATTTATTCATGTATTGGTTTACGGAGTCATGGATGGCATCACTTTAGGATAAGTGTGTTTGGCTAAAATAAGATAAAATGGTCTGTTAAGAATACTGTCAGAGTGGGGACAGTGTGTTAAAAGGGCGTGAAAGGTCAAATCTGTGTGTTTACGTCAAGCCCTGTTAGAAACAGAAATCTATGAAAATCATTTAAGATTTTTTTTTAAACTGTACTCGTAAATAAACTATACACATCGCTAGAAATGTGAAGTTTTGAGCTCTGCCTTAATGGCCCAAGGAACCATAAACAGCTGATCTCACTGATGTCCAGACCCGCCTCTCCTCTCAGCCAAAGCAAAGCAAACAAAAATGACATATTCTCTCAGGTTTTATGAGCTGAGACACTCAACTGGTGGCAGTCAATGAGCTTCAAACGGTCCAAAGGGATCATTCAAAGTGCCTTTCCTTTGAATTAATCAATTTGCATCAGCATCTGTTCATTCAGATGTGCCTCAAGGCAAATAAAACAATGTTTAGCATTTTTGTCAAACTGTTCACGAAGCTCTTATAATAATAGAATACAAAGAACAAGTCAAGCCTCCACATCCTTTCTTTTTTTAATCATTCGTGACCAATCTGGGAATTTCCTTTAGCCTTTGAATTCCTTTCATATCATTAAGCTTGATGTTGCGCCAAATTACGTTTGGGACCAGTTTTATATTTAGTTCTTCAGATCCTGGAGATAAATGTAACACATTGTCTCTCGATGAGGTATAGCCGCTTTTCACTCGGTGAAAGGAGTGGTGGCGAGCAGGACTACCGCATCCCTTTGTGGTTTCGTGTGATGTAGAGAAGTAGGTGAAACCTCGGATATATACGGCTCTATTTTAATCCCTGCGGCGCCATTGGTCGGCTCACCTTTGACGCCTCCCACCTCTGCTCGCCGCAGCTCCTTGGATGAGTTCCGCCCGCTGGGTGCGGTGGATCACTTCCTGTCTGTGAAAGTTTCTGCTGTGATGTAACCAGCGGCAGGTGACCTCTCATTCACAGTCTCCAATCAGCTGATGGATGCGCTTCAATTGTTTTCCTTCAGTCAGGTCGAATTAACAGTTAGTGCTGCACGCATGACTGATCTCTCTCACTGGATTTACGCAGCTCATTTAATCATTATTTAAACCAGTTGTTTATAGATTCAGCTTTAAACACATTTTATATTGAATGAGGGTCCCGTAATTGTGCACAAATATCTTTATAAATTTAAAAAGTACATTCATTTCAGTAGTTTTACTTTAAAACGTAAATCTCATAACTATAATCAGTGCACCCAGAAGTTTATATTTCAATCATTTTTTATCTGTTAATTTTGATAATGCTTCAAAGATCAGTAATTCAGGTCATTGGAATATTAACAGAAGCAGAAATGTTATGTTATGGCCCACAGAATCCGGGGTGACTTGATAATTATTGCTAAAACAACTGGCTGTTCACACAACTGTATTAATTGAAAATTGGGTGGAAGGAAAAAATGCACAATCAATCATAATATTTTTGATTAAAATAATAACAAATATTTTCAAAACTGAAATGTCAGCCCATGAAAATGCAATTAAATATTTAGTTATAGCACCTTCGGTGAGTTATTGCATGTGCTATGGCATTTGCTGTAACAGTAGCCTTCAGGTTTGTTTACTTTTTGGGGTCTTTCCATGTGACAAAACTCCATCGATTGGCTTTTCATTAGCTGTAAGATACAATCATGAAATGTTATAAGAAGTAAACGCTTTAAATATATCAGTTTGTGTGTAATACATCTGTACATGAGTTTCACTTATTTATTAAATTACAGGAATAAATCAGTATTTCTTTGACATTCCAGTTTGTTGAGATGCACCTGAAGACAGCAATAAAGGCTTTAAGCCCAGGTGAAAATGTGAACCTGTGGAGTCCCGCATCCTGCAGCCGCTCTCCACTCTGTGTGGGATGGAGGAGCGCCATATTGCGTCTGTCTGCACTCACTGAGTTTGGAGGAAAATCTGTGGCTGCCCGCTCTGGACAAACACAAACTCATCTCCCAAAACCCAACACCAAGCTCCGGTAAGACTTCCACCTCAGCAGCTATTGGTTTGAGTTAACGGTGCATCTTTAAACCCCCGCAAATACTTGTTTTTTCCGCACTTTTTTTTTTAATCCTGCCGCGCACTTCCCTGCTGCGCCGCACAAAGGAGGAAAATCTCCCAACAGGTGTCTGTGGGATTAGAATGTGACAGCGTTGCTTCCACTCAAAGCCAAATTTCAATATTAGCACCCAAATTGAAGATGCTGAAATCTTTGCAGTTTTTGTGCTCAATTTTATAAGTAAAAATATGTGCTAAAAAAAAACAACAACAGAAGAATGAAACAGTTCTGAGCTTAGTTTCCCTCTCGCTGTATGTGGGTGTGCACATTACCAAACAAAAACTCAGAAACATTTCCAGGTCCATAAATCTTCACTTTGTTACATTTGAACACTCTGTAAACAGGTAGCACCGCTTGTGTTTTCACTGTAAGACGCAGTTTTGCGTGTTTGCGATCGACTTTGTGAGGCGACACAAACAAATAGTTGGATAAGAAAATAAATTGAGGTGTGCGCCTGTTGGCGAAATCTGCAGGCGTCATCGCTGAATGTTAAAATAGAGAGGGGTGGAGAGAATAAACATTTATTATAGAAAGTGGGTGAGGCACATTGCATAGAAAATTTAACGTCCATGTGCCTTTGTGTTAATTTGGTCAAGCTAACGCAAGGCTGCACGACTTCCGGTTTGTAATTTTAAAATAAAATCCGGAAAATCTTTTTGTTGAAAAATGATCCCAGCATATTTGTGATGCAAATTTTTAACAGACTATAATAAATGAAATAAAATAAATTTCAAAGGATCAGGTTTAGTTTTAGAAGACCCCAATTTTTCAAATTTTGCTATTAAAATGTGTAGTTTAATGTCTCTTTACACATTGAAATTAAAGCATACAGTACAAAGAAGCAATTGGACTTATGTTGTGGGTCATTATCTTGCTTACATATAATGTCCTGACTATCTAAATGCATACCAGAAGGGATGCATTGAGCTGTTGAATGCTGTGGTTGCCATTTTGGTTCAGGGTGCCTCTTATGGATCCGGCAAAACAGGCCCAGATCGTCACATTTCCTCCTCCGTGTTTGACAGTTTATGCCACACATATGGAATCACCTTTTCTCCTACTTGACAGCGTACAAAGATCTTGAACCAAAGATTTTACATTTTGACTCATCAGTCCATAATGTCTTCTTCCAGTCTAAAGTATTCCAGTTGTGGACTTGTCTTTACAAGTCTTCACAAGTCCACAATTTAAAATCGAGTTGAAATTGAGTTTTGCTTACATTGGCCAGCTGTTGTCCTGTGAGCCGCATATCAAGCAAGCTGTTAACTCTCAGAAACTTGCCATCTGGACTCAGGTGTGACTTTGGATCAGCCAGATCTCTTCCCGTCAGAGTTTGCCCCAGTTTCTGAGAGCCTTGTGATGGTGAAGTTGAATGACACCTTGACTTTCTTTATAATTTCTCTGTAAGGAATGACCTAAATTTCTCTCTTTCATTGTCAATTACCTTTTTCTTGACACTTTCTGCTGTACAAGACTGTTCAATATGCTCATGAGCACCAATAAAAAGGAGTGTGTTCCAACACTGCTTTTATTGGTGGCACCAGATTTCAATGTTTGGTAAACCTCTATTGCAGCAAGAAAGCTTTAAACTCTTAATCCAGTTTGTGTTTCTTGAAAAATGCCATTTTCTATAATTCTGGTAACCTTAACTATTTAAAGCTATTTATTGGACTTGAACGTCTTGAATTGGAATAAAAAAACTGGAAGAAATTGGGTGTTCTAAAACTTTTGACCGAAAGTGTCGACTTTTATTTTGAAGTATTCCGGCGTAGCGCGTGCTACGTTTGCGGACTTTGATGATTCATCTTCATGATGACTGTCGCCCGCAGGAGTGTCGATCCGAGCAGCTGAGTTTAAGTAACGCACAAGTGGTTGAAACTCGTTTCTCTTCTTTTGTCTCTCTCAGGAGGACGCTCTGAGATCCGGAGCCGCACGGAGGACACGTCTTTATTTTATTTATTATTTATTTCTGGTTCTCATATTTAGCAGTTCTTTTCTTAGCAGCTCGGGGAAAAAGGACGGCAAAATGCCCAGAGCGGTAGGTGACCCTTTGCTTCATTGATATTTTGACTCGGTGCCTGTTGAATCACTTCTGTTGTTGGAAACCTGTGGTAGCGCTTACACTAATAAATACTTTAATTTTACTAAAATATTCCACTAAAAATATTTAAATAACACAAGCCATTCCAGACATAGTGTGGGAGTTTATTGAAAGATGATCAAAAATCTTACTTCACTAAATAGATGGCGCACAACAGTATAAAATGGATTTGAAACAAAAAAGATATATATATA